GAATCAAACCCTTTTTTTGTTGCATTTAGTAGAGTATACAAATAAATGCCTTTTTAAAATAGGATGCAAGCAACACTAGTTTCTTAACTTAACTTGAATTGATAATAGACTATAACCTTTATCTTTATCTTATACCATTTTGTACAATAATTATAATGAATAAGTTCAAACAAACAAAAACTTACAGCTGATTAATAACGGTATCTAACTTGAGTTTTTATTATATCAAAAACCTGTTGAAATGCTACTGTTATTTTTACTGTCCCCAAAAAGCGCGTCGGCAGCCTCCAGGAATGCTTCTTTCACAACTTCGCCGTCTTTGAAAGACTCGGGCCTGGCGCCACGAGGGGCAAAAGGGGGCATTGCCCCCTAAGTTGTTTTATTTGCCCCCTCACTTTGAGCATCATTCAGCCATCGAAAAGTTAAATAAATGTCACAATTATTAAATAACTTAAAATAATTATTTTCCCCAACACACGTTACTATAATTAGATCAGATATGTGGGCAGGCAGTCAAGCAACGTGTAAACAAGCCTCAACCCCAAGTGAGCTTGTAGTCTTAATTAATGTTAGCATGTGTGCTTAGCTGTAAACACAGTCGGATGGGGGACCAAAACGTCCCTGTTTTCCGGGCAAAGTCCCCATTTTCGGAATGTGCGTTAAAAAACATAGAGCAAGGTGAAATAAAATGTTACATGTCAGTAAAAACAGAGTAACAGTGTTGTGCCTGTTTGTAGCGTTAGTGTATTTCTTTTTCTAATACTTCTTCTTCTTCTACCTCTACTTCTTCTTCTTCTACCTCTACTTCTTCTTCTTCTACCTCTACTTCTTCTTCTTCTACCTCTACTTCTTCTTCTTCTTCTACCTCTACTTATTTTTCTTCTACCTCTACTTCTTCTTCTTCTTCTACCTCTACTTCTTCTTCTTCCACCCATGGATGTATAATAAGAAGCTTCTAATTCAATGTACCTTCCCGCAAAATATTGGACAAAAGAAAGTCGGCTAGTAGTGTCAACTAAATCCATAGTATTAGAACAAAAGTGATTTAAACGAGGTAAATTACGAATGTATGTTCCCAATCGCCAAGTGTGGGATTGAATATTAAATTAGTTTAGATTAGATTTATTGTCCCCAGGGGGAAATTCATTTCCACAGCTCTGTGAAAACAAGATGAAATCGACAAAAAACAAGACAACTACAGATAGCACCACACATGATGCTTACCTGTTATTATTTAGGGCTGCCTGTATGGATCAGGTTTTTGCCAAAGCGAGCCCTTTTACTATAATAATAATATGTTATTATATAAACCGTATTGGTACAATGAGCGACATCTAGTGACGGATTTTTAATCTGTGTCTGTCCATTTGGTGTAGTATTTGATCCAATATTACATTTGGTTATATATTAGTCACTTTCTTATGGAATGCCAGGTTTTAGGTCTTGGTTTGAACATTCAATCCTGAAAATAACAAATCAACCAGATTAATTTGTCTTTAATGCTGACATGACTAGAGTAGATAGTAAGTAAATAAATCTGTATAGGAAGACGAGTTAAGGGATAGAGGAGAAAAGGTTATGGTATAATTACAGAGCCTGTCCATTTATAAATTGAGGAAATCAATGTTAGTCTGTTAACGTGACTAACAAAGTGCAGGCATCTAATAATGTACTATCTATTATTAAAGATCAGAGGAAAAGAACAGAATGAGAGGGGTCAATCCGGAATACAAATAAAGAAGCAAAAAGATTGTAGAGCAGTGAGAATGAAAAAAACTTGGTGTGTCAATTCATTACATTGCCAGTATTTTTCGTTGTTGTGAAAAAAAAGTCGCCCCCTAGGATTTTTGAACAGCCCCCCTCAGTCATTTCAGCCTGGAAAGACTTCATGTGTTTCGCAAGAACGTGACTGACACGATAAGATGCTATGGTAGCAGCCTTGCTCTTGTTGTTGGGCCTGGTGGAAATGGACTGCTGTGCATTTAGCTGTCCTTTCAGGCCCCTCCCCTTTTGGAGCGTAGGGTGTTTTTGAGTTGATGAGTAGTTCAGATATCACTGTAAAATCAATCGACAGTAAGGAGAATAATTACTTCCGGGTGTAAAATTCTCCGTTATCCAATGGGAATGGACGCTCGTAATACAATAAAGGGGACATGATCATTATCTTTTAAATAACGTTAACTAAAGGGAACAATCTATTTGACACAGCTGAAGCTCTGGCCTTCCTTAAAAACTAACTAATTTAATAAAAATCACAGTTGTATTACACACAATGCACTGTTTTTTAAAAACAAAAATGCGTAACTAATGTAATTTTTACATTCTGACGAAAAATAAAAATTATTATGAATACAAATAAAATAAAAGAAGCCTCCCGTGAGTTACTACAAGCTATATAGTAGATTTAAAAAATGTTTTATAGAATAAAAGCTCACTGCGGGACGTTGTAGAAATGCGTGTGTGCACCACGACAAAAGAGCCTCATTCACTTTACATTGGTTTTTTTTGTGTGGTGCCGACACGTAAATGGAGCAGAATGCGTGACTCCACCACGCAATGCGGTGTTAAGGAGTCGTGGTGGAGTCACGCATTCTGGTGAGATCAGGTTGGACTGACAACAAAGTGTCAATTAATATTATGTGTGCCTTTTATCTGTTATTGTAATATTATATTTTATTATAATGTTATGTTTGCTGTGAAGCACTTTGGTAAACCCTCTGTTTTTAATATGTGCTATTGAAATAAAGTGGATTGGATTGGATTGAATATCCCACCCTGCAATCAAAATGTAACCCCCCTCCCTGGAGAGGACCCACAGATCTTATAAGTGGCAACTCACACTTCTGCAGTGGACACATTAAATGTATTTCTCCTTGTTTCTCATCTATCTCCATAACACCATCTGGAATTATTGCTATATTGTATCTATGAGTCTTATTACAGCTCCTACCACAAACATAAGGCTTCCACTGTGGGTAGGAGAGTGATATCAATGTGTCCATAAACCCTCCAATAAGCAGTTTCTTCCTCCAGCAGAGACGGTTCTTAAATAGTAAACATGAATTATCCTGTCACAGAACTAACTTGACATGTTGTTTTTGTGTCTCTTTATCCCAGCTGATATCCCTGCTCGTATGTGGTGTGCGGGCAGCTGTGGTGGTTTTTGCATTAATCGGGATTGCCGTATTTTGCTTGGAAGAACAAGAACTACAAAAAGGCTGAAGGTTCTACCGTCCAGAGAGGGAACATCAAGACGAGTCTGTTGTGATGGTTGAGATGTAAGCCATCTGAAGTTCAACTCAGGTCGTCTCTCATCGTCTTTAAGCATGTGAAGAAAGGGAGTGGAAATAATCTGCTGTTTTTATTCTAAAAGTACTTAAATGTGTTCACAGTTCAGCAGCTCAGTATGAGTTGTTATTATTTGAGGTCTGTTAGTGTTGTTTTGCATTTGTATCGCAGTTCAAGTACAAGTCGAGGTGCCTGCATTTTTTCACTCTTTGTAAATTACAATCATGATCATTTATATAATGTTAGTATTGAACTCAGATTGAATCATGTGCATGATAGTTTGTTGTTTTTCTCATGTGATTAAAATGTCATATATAGGTCTTTTTTTGCTTGTTTGCTTGCAATACGTTCTTATGGAAAGTCTTTTTAGTGTTGTCAATCCAGTTGTGGTACTTTATGAAGTTAAATAATGCTTTCATGATAATAAAAGTATGTAAGGCTAATAAAGGTCTGTACGTGTTTTGCTAATTCAACAAACATTATGTATTCGTACTAAAGGTAATCTAGATCTAGATATTCAAATAAGGTAAACTTCCATTTTGTTGTTTTCATTTTCATCGAAGACTCTACTTTCAATTATCAGTATCAGACGGTGTGAGGTTTCCCCCTACTGACAATCAGAGGCGTTACTGCTGTTCGTGGATTATTCTGTAAAATCTCTGCTCCCAATGTTAACATTTCAGGTAGAAATTATGATCAATTAAATATAACCATATGGTGTTACTGCCTTAATAGGCTACTACTACCAGTCTGCATAATGAGGTTAAAATATAAACATATATGTGTATTACTACAAGTGCAATGTCACATGTCTTTAAATAGTTTAGGGAATGTTCCTTATATCAATAGAAGGCAACAGAGTCTAAAGAGAGAGAGAGAAGTGAAATAACTGAAAGTTTAATCATCTACTTCCCTTTTCCATGTAATGAATTAAACAACAGCCACCACCCTAACTAACACTTACATCAACCAAGATGTCAGAACAGTTTTGAGCTTTACATTTGACCAAAATGAATTCCTTTCATATTCAGCAGGAAGCTGTGAAGACCATTAGGCTAACCAAATTAAACTAGTTTCTAAAAAAACTAAGTACAAATAAAGAGCCTATGTTGAACGGATGTGATCCTGAAATGATAGTTTGATGGCAAAGTATTGTTCTGTTCAGTCTGAGAAGTAGGGCACATTATTGCCTTAGTTATAAAAAAAGCCTCTGACAGAAGACAAACTAATAATCCTTGAACTGCATGTTGATTTTGTCAGAGGACAAAAGCCTCAGAATTGTTTAGGCGGTGTTATGGATAAAGTATTGCAACGAATATTTTCAATATATATTTATGCTGCAAACATTAGTTGACAAATAGTGTGAATCTGTATAATGCTGTTTTACCCCTGTAAAATGATATTAGGATCACTGTCATTATTTGTGAATTATTCAAGTATTCATTTGACTGTTTGAATCATAATTTAAAATACAGTTTGGTGTGCAGATAGTTTTAATGTTAGTTTAAAATGGTTTAATAACAATGATCTGCTGGTGAGTGAGAGGCAGTTTGCTAATTCGGTAAGATGTGGAAACGACATTTAACAGTTTCATTTCGCTGTCAATATTGCTACATGGAAAACAAAAAAAGGACAGCTGTTAGTCTCAAACCTTCTTTCCGTTTAAAAGGAGGAATGTTTCCCTCTGTTCCTCTCAGTCCATCACCCACAGAGGCCATCTTGGTGGAGGCTAAAAGGGGAAGTGACACAGATATCACTTCCTTTTCTTTCGATCCAAAAAAAGATGAATATAACAACGCTCTGCTAAAAGGTTACAGTAATTATCCTCTGAGGCTGATCACTAACAGGACATATCTCCGGCTGTTCAGTGTACGGTGTTGGTGGAAAGTAGAGAAGTTTGTCTGAAAGTTGAACACTGAGGAGACATGAAGGCTGTGATTGGACTGCTGTTGATACTCGGAGTCTCTCATGGTGAGCTGTTTAGCTTTAAACACTGATATATATATATATATATATATATGGCTTTAATATGATGTGAATAAAATGTTTTACAGCTCTTTGTGCTCAGATATTGGTTCCCAGTAAAGTCATTGACATCCTCAGTGATGTGTAATGCAGTTCAAATACTGAGGATAGAGGCTTCTTACTTGGTTTTGAATAAACTACCCCTTTATTGATAAACTGATTCACTGCAACAATGTAAAACAGATATTTGAGCTTTTCTTAGGTTCAGTAGCTTAAAAGAAATCAAGTTATCTCCGAGATCATTTCCACGTCATTGTGGTGAAAGTTCAGTGACAATTAAATCAAGAGTATAATGATCTACTTCAACTGAATATATTCAACTTTATTTCCACATACCAATTCAGTTCAGATATGTAATCGGTTTGATCATTAATATAATGTACCTGAATTTCCTCTTAAGTTTAAAATCAGACACTGTATGGTTATTGCAGTTATATCAGAATACACCAACTTAGAGTTGAATTGTTCTCAATATCTTTTGCATAATTTGACACATTTTCGCCTAACACATAGCAAACTTGTATTTGCTATCATTTATAAACAAACCTCTGTAGCACAGCAGAAGGTTACGTACTGACTGGGTGTGGTTGTGCAACTGAACCTGTTTTTAAGTCACTGGCCAGTGTAATTGACTTACAACAATAACCGACTGTTTGCATAATGTACATCAATTGATATTTCGATGGTTGTTTATATTAAAATAATTTACATTCAAAAATGTTTTCAAACATTCCAGGTCTGGAACACTGTGACGGCAGACAGGATGGAGCTCAATGTTTTGGTCCTTTGGGAGGAACTGTGGTCCTCCAGCTGATGGACAGGGCCTTAGTAACAGAAAGATACAAATTGTACAAATCGTCAACAATAATATTTAATGTGATAAACAATAACATGGTGGGTCCTGCGATACAAAACAGATCATCATTTAATCACAGTGATGGAACATTTAGGTTGAACGACCTCAGCAGGAATGACAGTGATGAATATAAACTTGAAGTTTACTTCAGTAACGGCAGCTTAAAAACTGATCGCACTCTACGATTGACCATTCAAGGTAAATAGTTTTTTTTTTGTATCTATTAGGGGATTAAGTCAAATGGATAGACACACATAAGAAGTTTGTATTTCTAAACTCAACATATATCTGTCTGTTCTGTACTAAAAACTGCATACAATTGCTTAGATTGTGTGAATATGAAATGTCACCAGTGTGTTTCCTTCAGCTCCTGTGTCCTCTGTCCGGCTGGCCTCTGAGTGTCTGTCCCAGGGAGAGAAGAGGGTCTCCTGCTCCTCTGGGGGAGGGGACAGTCCTCAGTACAACTGGACTCTGGGTGGACTCTCACTGACAGACACTGAGCTCCTCTCTGTAAATAGTACTGAGACTAACAGCATCACTCTGAAACAACACGTCTCTGGAATAGTGGCCTGCTCAGTCAAGAATAACGTCAGCCTGGGGTCTCACAAAGAGGAGATATCTAACTGTGGTGAGAATATAAGTGGAAAACAGTTTGATGAACAAGACATGGATGATTAACTACACATCAGTCATGTATCTGATTCTTTCCCACAGGCTTCATATTCATTAACTGCACCACAAATGGGACACATATATCACAGTGGGTGTTTGCAGCCAACACTACGCTGTGTGTTGAACCAACAACAACATTTCCTACCACCACCACCCCAGATCCCTCCACTGCGGGTAAGGAGAGTACAGTGTCAAATAACCCCTGCACTAACATCACATCCTGGAATCAAACTGTGACCCCCCTCTCTGAAGATGACCCATGGTACATTAGTAAGTGACAACTAACACTGCAACAATGGATTATTAAAGTAATTCCCCCCTTTTTTGTTTGTGTGTCTCCATAAAGTGTGTCTCCATAACACACCTGTAGTGATTGCCTGATATTTAAATATCTTGTGTCTCGTTGTTGAAACAGGAAACTGGCCAATAATGGCCGGTGTTCTCTCTGCACTGGTTCTTCTGTTGGTGGTCGGGGTGGCTGTCGTCTGTGCTCAGAGAAAAAAAACAAGCAACCAGCCCACAGGTACAGAACACAACTTCCTTTTTTCTTACACATCGCACAAACAGTTTTACATTTTTGGCAATACAAGTAATTTGTTTCTTGCCCGAGAATAAGATAATAAGATTGAGACCACTTTGGAAACTTGACGAGAAAAACATACACATATTGGCAGGTAAATAACAAGAAATAAACAATCTTTTTAACAACCAACTGTACAAACACCCTGTAGTGTTGGAAGTATTACACCCTTTACTTTAGTGAACCAACGTAAGTATAATCAGGAAAGTTTACTTAAAGTATTAAAAGGTAAAAGTACTCAATGCAGAAACATGTCCCCTGTGACTGACATACTATTATACCATAACATCAATATTACTGTCACAAACCGGCTCAAGGAGTGCAACAAGAGGGGACACAAGTGGTTAGCCCTGCATTTATTAAAGTGACAACATGTAAGGGTGAGTGTAAAGTGTGTGTAGCGGGCGAGGTAAAAACCAAACTTGGCCTGGATGGCTCATGGAACAGAGAGACAATAGACAGAATAGATACATAGAATTGGAGGATGAAACCCTCTTTATTGGTCACACATGCATGTAGCTACACAGCACACACAGTGACATTTGGTCTCTGTTTTTTACCCATCCGAGTACTGAGAGCAGTGGGCAGCTATTGTACAGTGCCCGGGGAGCAATGGGGAGTGGGGGGTCCGGTGCCTTGCTCAAGGGCACTGCAGCAGGGCCCAGGAGGTGAACTGGGACCTCTCCAAGTACCAGTCCACACTCCATATTTGAAGTCTGTTCGGGGACCTGAACCAGCGACACTACGGCTCCCAGTCCGAGCCCCTACTGACTTTATAGCCTCAGTGGAGACACTCACAGGTTGATTAACGACCAGAGAGCAGCAGACACACTGAGCAGAGAGGGAGGGGTCGTAACGTTACTCATGCATTTGTTTCACAGCAGGAACGTACTGTTGTTAGCCATGGAGCTTATTGTTATTGTAGTGAAGCATATGCAGAAAGTGATATGGAGGAAAAAAACCTCAAATTGATACTTAGGTAAACTACTTTCCACCATTGCAACACTTAGTTTAAAGGTCCCCTATTATACTGTTTTTCATCAATATATTATAGGTCTCAGATATATACAAAACATGTCTCTGAAGTGTTTGGCTCGAAATATCAAACTGATCATTAGCATCCCATAAACCCCTCTGTTTCAGCCCTGTTTCAAAAGTGCTGATTCTCTGTCTTTAGATGAAAAATAAGGAGCCACTCCCCACGCCCAGGTGATAAGGTGGGCGGGTGTTACCTTGGTTGGTTATTGGCTAATGGTTTGGCAAGCCAAAAAATCGTTATAACATCATAAAGTGGGCAAAATCTGATCAGATCATTTCAGACAAGTTTTTATATAAAAGAGAGGGAATCTTTGTTCCTGAAACTTTCAGAATCTCTTTACGCAGAGGGGACACATGTTTATGTATGAAAGACATGAAAAAGTGGATTTTGCATAATAGGTGACCTTTAACATGATTGTGTTTATGTATTCACTCTGCAGATGAAGATGAACAGGAGTTGACCTATGCTGTTGTCAAGATCAAGCAGCGGTCGGGGCGGCAGGTCCAGCAGAGGGCCGAGCCGGAGGTGGAGTACGGCCAGGTCAAGTTCTCAGAGCGACCTCGGCCGACTGCTGATCCCACAGGAGAGGAATGTGTGTACGCCAAGGTGCAAAGAGGCAGGTGATTCCCAGAGTTCAGTCATTTGACAAAGACTGCACCGTTAAAGGCAGGTGAAGGGTCTCTTTGTCTAGATCCTCCTCGTCCTGTCATCAGAACGGCAACAGGGTCACAGCAGAGCACAGTTACACTTTTTCATTCACTTTGACTCTGTAAATCTATCGCTTCATATTATTGATTTCTGTTTCTATTTGTATTAAAAACAAATATCCTGCAATAATATATATATATATAATACTTATAATATTAATAATGATATTCCTTTATTTCTTCAGAATAAATAAATTATACACCTAATGATGTTTTGACAAGATACAGGTCAACATTTTGCTGTGATGTGTTTCTCTAGTAGGGACCTCCGCCAGAAGCTTGTTTAAAGTTGAAATACATTAATAGGATGCGGGTTCTTTTAATGTAAATACAAATGTTCTTTTCATTCATAGATATTATTATTATAGTTATGCTTTTGTGGTTTATTTAAAATTCCTTGTTTGATTTCAAAAGCATTTTAATTGTTGTTTTATATAACATTATCCAATATTAAAATCATATTTGCGTTATGTTTATGCTTGTTTCTAATTCATGAAGATGTTCACTTTTTTAATACATTGTTGAGCCACTGTACATTTAAAATAATGCTAATATAATTTTGCCTTTACAATGCATTTAGTTATACAGTATAACCCTGCAATAAGTGGCAGACAAGCGCACCGCTCGGAATAACCACTTCCTCATTTGCACACATTATGGCAATGACTGCTCATTTTTGCTGAAAAACTGTCTTTCTCGAAGGAAGAAAGAACATTTGTCATCAATAAATTATTACATTACATCTTATTGAGCTGTGTATTCATTTTAGAAAACTATGTAACTGTTTCATAGAAAAGCTGATAGCCTGAGCATGCTTGTGTTGGTTAGGTGCGTTGGGGGAGCTAATCTCTAAATGTGACGGTGTTATCTTCCTTTGGCTCGCTTGTAATGAGATAAGTTTGCAGAGAAATGTCACGTATAAGGCAGTCTGAAGCAACCACATATTAGTTTCCTTGGTCAGTCCGACAGTCTGCGAGGTATTTCCCATGTTGCATCATGGTGAAACAGTGAAATTAAAGTGTCAGTTGTGTACTGTAGTGCTGCTTACTCTTATGTGCAGTACAATTGGGGAATTGTTCTTGTTTGTAATGTATTCGATGTAGATGGCATACAGTTTAATAACTTGCCTCAGAAATGCCTGTAACTATAGTGTTTCTTGATACTGTAAGATGTCAAACCTTTTAAAATAGGATGTTGCACTCACTGTGGACAACCTCCGAGACTCTTAGTATGCACGGTGTTATCTTTTAACACCATCAGCTTATTTCTATATCAAGCGCTTCCTTTTTTCTCTGTGGCTTTCAGCGCAGAACGCAACATACAAATAACAATGTATTTATCAATGTTATTCATCCACGGTAGCTTTGTGATAATATTCAACAGACACATTTTACTTACTATGGGCTCTTCATTTTAATAGACGAGGAGAACAAATGTTTAAAATGAAGTCAGTTAAGAACAACGCCACTGATTTGTCATTTGAATCAACTGTCACATTTTAATTAAATCATTCGATTCATTTCTGTGCCATGACAGCACAGTAAAACAGTACTGTAAAAGCTATAGTCTGAGCCTGTAGAATATTAACGTAAGCTAACATTGACTCTTCAAAGGTTGCTTTAATCACATAAAACAACCCAATATTTGATTTCAACCAATCTAAATGTCTCAGTTACACTTACACAGACAAGAATGCCTAAGACATTTTACATGTATATTGGCTCTGACCCAATGCATCCATTTTTCTGCAAGAACTAATAACATCTGAGACAACAAACAATAATAAACACGTCAAATGCCAGATCCTCTGAAAACTTCAGACCTTTGTTTAGTTTTTCCTGCCTCAAGTTAACCATTCGGCAGCTTCAACCTAACGGAGGGCGTGCTCGACTGCACAAGATGTAACCATAAACAGCAAAAATGGCAGAATCACTATTTCAATATTGGAAGGCTTCAGCTAGTTGAGTCTCATGCGTTAGGCTTATCCTTCTTCAAGCCCTACTTATGCTCTTATAGCATAAGTAGGGCTATAATCAACTATGTTTTCCCATGTTAATGTAGGAGATATTTTCTTTTCAAAGAGAGAGTATACAGGTTTGGTTTGGTTTGATAGCCTGAGGTTAAAGGTTAACAACCAGGCACTACTGTTCAGCTGATCCATAGAGCCATAAAATTGGTGTTTATGGTTCATGATAGCGTCCTTAAACAACCCTGAGATGATTATTTTTGTTTAACCCTCTTGTTGAAACACAGTTGAACTTCTGACTGGCATAATCTTCTGAGCAAATAATTGACAACATACAAAAAGTGTTATAAAACTGCTCCAACAATCCAGTCCTGTTTGTCAGCCAGAAAGACTTTGTTCAATACAATGATTGAACAGATACCAAAACGTATCGATGCCAGTGAGTATTGTTGCACCTGTAATGCTTTTAATATGTGAATAACATAGTTAAAATAAAGATTAGGCCGCATCGCAACCAAACGATGGATAACATTTGGTTGAACCACTATGAAACTTTTATTTTTCCCTCATAAAAACCATGTGATATGGTTGATGTCCATTCATGTGACCCTGGCATGCCAAATATATTTACAGTAACTACAAAACCAAAACTGGTGGTTGGTGCCAAATGTTTAATCGTGGGTAAGTCAGCTTTTGATTGAAGATGTCCTGAAGCTGACTTATAACTTCATATTAAAATAATGTATTACCTATTTGTACAGAGAAAGAATCATGTGATTCAAAATGATTGATGTTAGAGTACTTACTGGGTATGTGTACATACAGATAGTTACTGTTGAAGAGTGCTCATTAAAGAAATTGATGTTTGGAGATATATAGGTTTCTTTGAAAAGATCATCCTGCAATACAGCCTGTATTATTGTATGTTTCAATAAACAATTATGGTACAAAACGCAGTTCATCTCGTCATGTAATTCCATGAATTTATTAGTTTTGAGTTATGTTGTATAAGGTACAGCTTTTCACAAAGGTTACACTTCCTGATTAGCTGTAAAAACTCGTGTGTGATTGTGTCAGATAGTTGTGCAGTAAAAAGCAGATGGACACACAGATCAATGCTACAGTAAAGAACGGAAAAAAACATATGCACTTGGCATGACGTGGCTTCACTTTTGAACATACAAAGATACTATTGTGACTTCTTGAAATAGAAGACGCTGCACACGATGATTGTATATAAATACACAGTGAGTTGCACAAAGTTGGTGGCATAACACTTGATTTCGAAACGATTGTTTTTGCAATCTCTAGCCACCTGTGGTCAGCAGTACATTTACATGCTACATGTGTTACCTTCCTCTTTTTTAAGTGAAAATCTAACTAACACAAACAAATCTAAACGTGTGTTCATTTTGCTAACATGTAAATGTAGTTCATACTTTAACATTGCATACATACTGTAGGTCCCAAAAGACTAGATAAGCAGTGACTTTTATAATTAAAATACTCTGACAAAGCAATGTCGATAGAGCATGACGCATGTGGAAGCTGTTTTTCAGGAAGTGGCAAACACATTTTTCAACAGCCTATTTTTCAACAAGTTGCTGTCAGTTTTTTCTTGATGTTATCACAGTCTTGTTGCTAAAAAAAGAAGACGTTTCAAGTAAAAAGGTTTTAACTGCATTTCATCATACACTTGTTTGACAGAACATTTCTTAATGTTTCTGTGCATCAACCCTTTCCATTACATCATATACAGCTGCTTTCTCATCCCTTAATGTAACCCATTTGTTTATAATTGTAATGATCTATTCCCATGTTAAATCCGGCATAAATAATTCAACAGAAACATTAAAGGGATGTTGAAAATTGGCATCACACGTTTACGCTTTACCCGTCTTTCGCATTATTTTCCATTCTGTGCTCATTCAAACTAATGAAGAGAAATGAAGCATCATTGTAATTCCCTTTTTATTTGGTCAAAAGCCACATTATAATTGTAACGCTCTAGAGAGATTTTGAGACATAATTCCTTAAATGAAGTCAAATTAAACAGATTTAGCATTCCACTTATTGTCTTACTCATGAAGCAGATACTTGACCATAAGTGCATTGTCACTTATCAACCAAAAAACCTTTCTTAAAGATGGTTTGCACGTTTCCCAAGTGAAAGGATATTCAGTGACTCTTGTCCTAAATTGAGTATTGTAGTTCTAAAAATGATATCAACACGCTAAAGACTAGTGGTTTGAGAAGCCCACTAAAAACAATCAGTGCAACAGACATGTAGTGCTTGTCATTGTGAAAGGCATGAGGTGCAACATTATGACGTCATGTTGATGCGAATCATCGCCATTCAATCTGTGGTAACATTATAAAACACAACAACGCTATGTACATATTTCATGCTGAATCAGTCTTTCATATTAAATCCACCTAGTATTCCTCTGATATAGTGTCAGACAAAATGTTGCTGCTGGGGCTGGTGGGGATGTGGGAGTCAGCGGGCCCACCCTGAGCAGGCGGGGTGGGGGTGGTTGTGGAGGCCTGCTGAGAGTTCTGCAGCTTCTTACGGTTTATCTTCCTCTCTTTGGCACGTCTGTTCTGAAACCAAATCTTCACCTAGGATTTCAGGATCAAAAACATATTGATTAGGAATAGGATGTGTTCTTTGACTTTCTATTGAGTTGTATTTTCTGTCTTTAGCTGTTATCGACTGTGTTGTCTTTGACCACTTACACTGGATTTAGCTTTTTGTTTGTATTTTTCTATACTTCTGGAAACATCACCTAAACTAATAAATCCAATATATTATTTGAACCAACTAGAAAAGTTAATTCAATATATGAGAAGATGACCTACTCTCACTTAAAGCCAGAAGTTTCAAACTTGTGTTGTTAAAGTCTGGAGCTAATCCAAAGACAATGAAAGGAGACTAATGTCTGTTAATGAGCAAAGCAAGTTCAGTAATGTCCTTCTTTCCTAGAATTACTTTGTTGCACTCAACAGTGGTTTGACAAGATAAAGGACATTAACACTACTTGTATCAGATGTTTTGTTCGACCACATAACATTATGGTTTAAAGAGGTTTATTCTAAAGCTGGTGTCTACAAATGGGATTGTTAAAGGATGTATGGCAATAAAAACAATACACCACCAGGCAAAAACATGGACCAAATGTAATGTACTGTAAGAGTAGCTGTTTTTTTAGGAATCACATTTGATAAAATCACTTAAATATCAACAATGTCAATAGCCATGGGGGTACAACAGAATAAGCTTATTTTCTTAGATTTTTTTGTCTAAAAATAGGCCTTCTTTCTTGCAGTTCCTTTGAATTACTTGTGATAGTTTATTTTGTTTGTTTTCAACCCAGTCTTCAGACTGAAAGTATGTATAATTTGAAAGAAGAACAGTATCATCCAGGGTGTTGGTGCTACAGTTTGTTCGGTCTGGTATGAACACTAGCTTATGCTGCATTTTCAAATATCAAATTATGTACATTAAGATTGATATAGTTGGATAAAGGAAGTCTTTCAGTCCTTTTTCACAGCATTCCCCGGCCGATAGAGTTTGCAGAAAGACGGTGTGTCTACACTGTGGCTGCAACTAACTATTATTTATATTATCGATTACATTTGCAGATTATTTTCAAAATAAATCAATTAATAGTCTATAACGTTTCAGACAATAGTGACAATGAACATCCCAATTTCTTAAAGTCCAAAGTGACTTCCTTTAAAAGTCATTCTTAACCCAAGCATATTAAGTTCAGTGTCA